CAGATATAAACAAATATACACACAGATACATATACATTAAAATACAAATATACTTATGTACACTCACACTGATAGGTATATGTACATAAACACATACACTTGTATACATACCTAACATACATGTACACATATGTACATTCATGACTAAATACACATATGCCCACTCACAGAGACAAATACACATGTACACATGGATATGCATGTGAACACATATACATACATGAAAAAGACCACACATACATATATATCAATGCACACATATTTACACACTCATACACATGCATATACTTAGAGAAATATCCATATACATGTATACATCCATACACAAACACACATATGGTAATACATACACACATGCATACATACAAAGACCATGTAAACACACATATACACTGAGATATACATATATAGACATTCATACACACATACACAACTTTGGCTTTGAGATTGTTTGCTAAGGAACAGTGACACATGCTCTAGTGCCAAGCCAGGATCTCACCCCAGACGATGTGTGGCTGCAGTTGCTGAACCTGGAGACCAGAGGTCCAGGGAGATCTCTAACTCCCCATTTCCTCCAATGGTGCCGGCCTCCATGACAAGGCCAGGTCCCAACCTGCAAACAACATGCACACACGGAAATGCCCATGCTGAGCCCAGGACCAGAGCCAGGGAGCCAGCCACCTGGCTTCTCAGAGGAGTTGTCCCGACCAAGTCAGAGCTGGTGAGAAGGTCACATCTGCAGTACTGTTCCACCTGTAGGAGCTCAAGGTCACACAGCCCAGGTTAGAGCTTGCCAGACAGCCAGGATGGGCAACAGGGCACAATGGGTGGTGGGGTTCGGGCTATGGGGACTCAGAGGCTCCTTGTTATTCCCTCAAAGCACAGAAGCCAGGGTTGGATTCATGGGCAGCCCAGCCTTAGTCCTGGGAAAGTGGTCTGGGTCAAGCCTCCTGCCAAGACCAAGGATGGAGCATGTGCCACAGACCCCACCAGTCCCTGTACTCCATCCCCTTCCTCAGCAGGCCCTGGGGCCTAGGGAGGTCACCTGACCAGAGGCAAGCCCAATAGGCTTGTTGGGAACAACTTCCTTAAGTTCTCATGATACGATCTGAGTCTACAACCACAAAATGGAAAGGAAACAGCCGAGGGGTGACTTGTTCCCCAGGGTACAACTGGCAATGGGTAGAAACACTTTTGGTTCTGAAACTGGGGAAACGTGTCTAAGGGACAGGAGCAGTGACGCTTTGAAGGCTCTTACAGTAAGACACCAAGCGTTGCTAGAGCAAAACACAGCTCGTGGGGAGAGCAGGTACCTCACTTGGTAGAGTGCTGGCCTGTCAGGCATGAAATGATGATTTGGGGTGGGAGAGATGGTTCAGTGGTTATGGATAACAGAGACAGAGTTCAGGAATGGAGTGACTGTCTAGCATGTTCAAGTTCCAGGGTTCAATTTGAGACAGCGACAGGGCATGTTTTCTTCCATTTTGTGGACAGAAAACCCTCAGGCACAGAGCCTGCCTTCTTTGTCCAAGGTCAGCTTGGCAAGCTCGTGGCATGTGCCAGAATCCTATTTGTTCAATGACTTGATATCAAAGCCAGCCCCCACAGGAGAATGCCACCTGCACTTTGAACTTTAAGGAAAAAATTAACACTTTAAAAATAGCTGCTTTCATGACCTATCTGACCATAAACAAATGTCCTGTCGATTACAGGGCATTTGGGGTAGAACTAGAACAAGAACACAGGATTTTGCACCCCAACACCCCTCATCTTTGCAAGACTCTTTTGCCCTGAGCAAGCCAGCCAACACAAGTCCCAGAACTGTGCCTGGCTGGCTAGTTGGCTGGCTTCCTTCCTTCCTTCCTTCCTTCCTTCCTTCCTTCCTTCCTTCCTTCCTCCCTTCCTTCCTTCTCCCTCCCTCCCTCTCTTCCTCCTTTCTTTTTTGAGATAGGGTCTCATATAGTCCAGGCTGAAATTGCTTCTTCACAGAAGATGAACACTTGATGCCACTGTCTCCATCCCTGAGGTCACAGGCCTAAGCCACCAGTCTCAGTGCGGACACTCCAGCCCAGAGCTTCACTAGGGAAGCCCTCCTGAAGTACATCTGCAGCCCTTGTTGTTGTGTGCATGGATTACACACATTAGTTGTCAGCTCTGAGTCCTGATAACTATGGATGAGTATGCATTAAGGAAAGAAATAACAGCACTTCCCTTGGGAGTCATTTAACAAGAGTGAGTTCAGATTTCAATTCTCTACTTCATGGTCCCGGAGGCTTCCACCCTTTGTCTGTCTACTGTATCTGTCCTGTGAATCTGACTGTCTCTGTGTCTGTAGTCCCTGTGTGTGAGATTGCCTCTTCTGTGTTCTGTATCAGTGTGTCTGTTGTTATGTGACTGAGTCTGTCTGTCCCTCACAAAGGGCTTCACCCTCTTTATTGAACAGCACAGAAAGCATCATATGGGGAAGGCAAAGTTTTACAAGGGATTAAGTACCTGGCTCCAGTGATACCAACTGACCCAGACAATAAACAATGCTTATCAACCAATATCCATAAAAGGATGCTCTCAACCTTAGTGTTAGATTTAGGAAATTGCTCTTTCTTTCATTTATTTTTGTAATTGTTTCCATTTATTTTGTTTTGTTTCTTTGAGACAAGGTTTCTCTGTGTAACCTTGGCTGTCCTGAAACTCACTCTGTAGACAAGGCTAGCCTCAAACTCAGACATCTGCCTGCTTCTGCCTCCTGAGAACTGGTATTAAATTCCTGTGCCCCACAGGCAGCTGGCACCTGAATCCTTAACTGGGAAACTACAGCCCAGACAACTGGCATTTAGTCTGAACTATGGCTCTACAAAGTCACCAGCAAGGACTTGAGTCCAGGTCTTAACAGTTGAAACCCAGAGGCTGAAGATGGTTCAGGGCTTAAATGCACATACTACTTTTGCAGGACAGGAGTTTAGTTCCCAGCACCCATATCACAGGACCAGATCCGGATCTGATGGCCTCTTCTGCCTCTGTGGGTACATACACTCACATGAACACACTCATACAACGATACTCATAAAAAATAATAATAATAATCTTTTTTTAAACCTGGTCTGCATCAGCAAGGAAAGTCATAGCCTAAGCACAGGAAGAAATGCCATAAATGCTATTTCATTCATCACCAGCAGAGGGTGAAGTGAAGTTCTAGACAACACTGGAATCAGATCTGGGGGCTTTAAAGCTTCATTTTTTGACACTCTGATGCTCTATGTTTTGAGGCAAGCCACTTTCCTCTCTGAACCTCACTCGCCTCTTCTGAAATAATGAGGCAGGGTTTCTAGGCTATGATTTAATAAGAAACATGAAGGCACCTACAGGTACCTTGCCTGTCTGTTTGCAGCCTTCCTAAGACAGTGTTGTCTTAAACCCATTCAGAAGATGGAGGAAATCCAAACTATATTATCTCAGGAGCAGATAATAAAATACATCTGAGAGTCAGTCATGGTGGTATACATATGCCTGTTAGCCCATCACACAGGAGGCTGAGGCACAAGGATTGCTATGAATTAAAGCTGTATATAAGAGAAACTCAAGCTCAAAGTGAGATTCTGTCTCAACCATCTACCACAACAATGAAAATAATTAGAAAATGGAGAGATGAGTGATTCAGTGGGTAAGATTATTTGTTGTGCAAGCAAGAGGACCTGAGTTCAAATCCCCAGCAAAGCATCCCTGTGAAAGCCAGTCACAGTCACACATGCCTGTAAGTCCAGCATTGGAGGCCATCAGGTGCTACTTTGCTGACCGGCCAGCCCAGCCTAAATGAGGAACTTCAAGTTCAGTGAAAGAATCCATTTTTAAAAACACAAGGGTCTTGGTATGATGGCACACACCTGTAATCCCAGCACTCAGGAAGCAGAGGCAAATGGGTCTCTGTGAGTTCAAAACCAACCTGGCCTATAACAGTGAATTTCAGACCATCCAGGGCTAAATGTAAGACCTGTCTCAAACAAAAGCAAAACAAGTATTACAAGGAGAGCAGTGGAAAGGGTCACCCAGGAGGTCACCCAAGTCCTGCACTTGCCTCTGCAATATGCATGCATGGCAGAGCACACATGCACACACATATACCACACATGCTAAACAGATTAATGCACAAACACACGTCCCACCCATCCCAACTAAGCCTTCCTCCTTATTCACCACTGGATCCATTAGGCCCACATGTGGACCTTCTCCTAAGCAAGCATGAAAATCTCCTCCAAGATTATGTGTAGCACACTGGGTGTACGTGTCTCATCCTGCCCCTCCAAGACTCAGCAATGGACCTAGAGAGAGCACATCCAAGGTCACAGCCTTTTCTTAACCTCAACACACATGTGATTAGAGTTTGACAAGTCCTTCATTGTCCTGTGCCTACAGGATGCCCAGCAGCCTCTCTGTCCTCTGTCCTCAGATACAAGTAGTATCTGAACCCAAGCGATGACACCTAAAGTATCTGCAGATATCAACAAGTGTCCCAGTGATTAAACCTGACCACTGGAGAGCTGCTGGCCTGGAATGCTCCAAGAACAGGCAATATTTATTATTCTCCCTAACATAAAGCAGTGTCTTGGAAGCAAATAGAATCTACATTTCTGTTGTCTTGGTTGTTGTTCTTTGGGCAGGGGAGTTTTAGAGAAACAGTCTTGTGTAGCCCAAGCTACCCTCAAGTACTCTATGTAGCCATGGATGATGTCAACTCCTCATCAACCCTGCCTCCACCTCCCCACTGCTGGGAATCCAGGTGTGTGTGGCCATACAGAGAGAAGCCAAGCTTTGGTAGCTATATTTGCAATATTTCTGAGTGTTCTTCCACAATGACAGGTGGAAAGAAATGGAAAAAAATATTTGGACTCCAGCCTTTATTCCATTGGGCTTTGGGAAAATCTCCACCTTGCACACTCCTCCCATTCACTGGCTGATAAACCCACTCATAAAAACCAAACTTAGCCTCGGACACGTCTACAGACATCCAGGGACACACCATGATCAAGACTCTGCTGCTATCTGCCTTGGTGGCTGGAGGTAACCTCTGTCTGGTGAAGCATGGACCAGACATTCTTGCCCTTACTTTGAGCACATGTCCCCTCTCCAGTCACTCAGTTATAGGAAGCTTGGAGCAGGGCATGATAACAGTTCCTATAATCCCAGCCCTCGGGAGGCTGAGATAGGAGGATCACAAATTCAAGGCCAGCTTCACTTACCTGACAAAATCAAAGACAAGCTAGGAAGTGGAATGAAGGACAGACTCACGGACATATTAGATCTCCCCAAAGCAAGGCTTTCCTGTTGGGTTTGGGTATGTCCACAAATGCAATTCCCCACTGACCCAAGACTCGCTTTTCACAGCTCTCAGCTGCGGGTTCCCCACCTATGAGGTCCAGGACCATGTGAGCAGGGTAGTTGGGGGAGAAGAGGCCACACCCAACAGCTGGCCCTGGCAGGTGAGTCAAGCACACCAGTGAGGCTATTATTCAGGCAAAGATAAGAACTGCTGAAACACAGGAGGGCAGCCTGGGCAACTTCACCAACACAATACATTCCTGCAGCCTTGGGCATTGGGGGCTGAGAGAAAGGTAACTTCTCCATGAGAGCTGCCTCTGCCAGCCCTGAGACTGGTTTGCAATGCCTGGTGGTCTAAAGTTAGATGTCCAGTTTACTCCACATGTTTTAAATATCAGAAGCATGCCTGTTTTAAAACAGCTTTCCTGGGGAGCTGGACAGAAGGCTCAGCAGTGAGAAGACTTGCTGTTCTTTCAGAGGACACAAATTCAGTTCCCACCACCACATGACAGTTCACAATCTGTAACTCCAGCTCCAGGGCATCTGGCGCCCTCTTCTGGCCTCCAAGGCACTAGGCAAAGACCATGGTGTTATTTTTTTCTATAAAGCATTAAAATGCCTGTAGAGTAACTAGGTTTGGTGACACACATTTGTAGCCCCAGAACTCAGGAGTGGAGGCAGGAGGATCAATGGCTTTACGTCAATCTTGACTATGCACCAATAGACTGTGTCTCCTGAGGAGGAAATTGCTTTGCTCTCAATGGCTGAGGTCTGGGAATTTCCCTTTAAGTATGGGACCTGAGGCACATGCCCTGCCCACTTTGCCTTCCTCCACTGCTCCCCGAACCATCACCCTGTGCTGCTCCCCCTGCCCAGGTCTCCCTGCAGTACCGAACCTCGGCGTCCAAGTGGTTCCACACCTGCGGAGGCACCCTGGTGGCCAACAACTGGGTTCTGACAGCTGCCCATTGCATCAGGTAGCTACTAACCTTACCCTGCTTACTGAGTGATACTCTGCCCTAGAGCAAGGGTCCCCAAGCACCAAACTTAGTTACTATGAATAAGCCTGGAGAAACCACCCTGCTTGGCTGAGGCAAGGAGGCAAGTCTGTCAGAGATTCAGTGTTGGATGTTCCCCCGTCCACACACAGTGCGCCCTGAGTGCCTTGTGTGGGGAGGATGTAGAGGAGGGAGAAGCCCAGCACCTCCCTTCCTGGGAGTAGCAGTAATGTGCTAGACAGTAAACCTTTCCTTCACACACTCTGCATTGGGGTGTCCTTGCTCACAGAGGCTGGAAAACGGAGGTCACTGACCTGTCACTCTGCCCCTCACAGCAACAGCAGGACCTACCGAGTGGTTTTGGGTCGACACAGCCTCTCCACCTCAGAATCCGGTTCAGTGGCTGTCCAGGTCACCAAGCTTGTGGTCCACGAGAAATGGAACTCAAATAAGGTCGCCAATGGGTACGTTCTGTCCTGTGTGTGCTCTCATGGTTGGGCTTGGCAGCCAGACAGGGAGGGGCACCCCATTCTGCCTCTTCTGTATGGAAGGGAAGGAGCTCTCCCCTCCTAGAGAAGCACCCCCACAGCTGCAGGTGCCCCGGTGGGAACGGTGGGGTTACCAGAGGAGGGGAAGCAAACGCTGTGCCAGATTGTGCTACCCTGCCTGTGACATCAGCCTGGAATAGGACATGGCGAAAAGGCAATGGTTGGGAATGGGCAGGCGGGAACAGAAAACAACCTTGCTGTTCTGCCTTCCTCCCGGTCCAGGTATGACATTGCCCTCGTCAAACTGGCCAACCCGGTGTCCCTGAGCAGCAAGATCCAGACAGCTTGCCTCCCACCTGCTGGCACCATTCTGGCCAATAACTACCCCTGTTATGTCACAGGCTGGGGACGGCTGCAGAGTAAGTGAAAGCAAGCAGGGAACCTCAAGGCTTGTCAGGGAAGTGGGGTGGTGTCACCTCTGTCCCTAGGGTGCTTGGCTGCCTAGGAGGGGCAGGCTAGCAGAGACTGGTAAGTCATCTGGTGCAAATCTCAGCTCTGCCGATATTAGCTATGTGATTCATGCACATTACTGAGCATTTCTGGTGGCTTCCTCATTTGTAAAATGGGACAGAGAACAGCAGAGGGAGGAAGGGAAGGTGGGCTAGCAGCCATATAGAGGAAACAAGTTAAGTAAGGAGAAGGTGAGAGAAGACAGTACGGAGAAGCTCATATGACCAGTACCTACAGTACGCAGTAGCCAGGTGCTTGAGTTGTTCTGGTCACTGAGGTGAGCTGAGAGGTATCCAGGCCACACTGTAATTTGTGTGGCCCAGGACCAGGGCTCAGAATAACATGTACACTGTGCCCTCAGGCATCTGGAGCTCCATGAAGTCCCCAGAACCCTCATCAGATCATCTCACTGTCTAAAGCTGGGCCAACATTGATTGGATAGTGATCTGATCACTGGTGATTGGTTCAGGAATGTGCACCTGACCCAAGCTAAGCCAATAGGAATTGGGAATAGAGAAGACTCTCCCAGGCTTTAGTGGCAGCCGTTTTCCTCTCTGCAAAGAAGAATGAGGCCAGATACCAAGCAAGGAATCTGAGAGAGAGAGGAAGGGAGGACGCTCAGGCTCTTGGATATAAACACACTGCTCTCGATGGACACTTTGGAAAATATTTAATGCCTAGTTCTTTGTTTGTAAAGTGGAAAGTGTGATGAGGGTCAAAGCTGCCTGTGGGATGCTTTGGACCCTGGAACATGTTAAGCAGTGTGTGCTAATTAGAGCAGTCTTGGGCAAGATCCTTGAATCCCATGGAGTCTATGTCCCATCCGTCAAACAGGAGTGAACTGCAATTGAAGGGTAATGATAGGGCTGGGCTTAGCCCAGCAGATAATGTGCTTGCCTTGCAATCATTGGGACCCGAGTTCCATCCTCATAGCCCCTGTAAAGACGCCGAGTGTGGCTGTGTGTACTTAATCCCAGCTCTGGGAAAGCAGAAAAAGCAGATCCCTAGGGTTTGAGAGACACCTGCCAAGCCTAACTGGGTGAGCCCTAAGCTAAAGATGCCCTTGACTCAGAGTGTTGGCACAAAAGCAGTGGTTCTCAACCTGTGGGTCACATCCTCTTTGGAGGGTTAAGTACCAGATATTGTCCATAGCAGATGTTTACATTAGGATTCATACCACCAGCAGAATCAGTTATGAAGTAGCAACGACAATTATTGTATGATTGGGGCTCATGACAACATGCAGAACTGTCCTGAAGGGTCAAATCATAAGGAAGGCTGACAACCACTGTGCTATGGTGTACCTCTAGCCTCTACATTCGTGCAGAGAGAAGGAGACTGTGACTATGAAAATGGACTTTCTCCTGGCCAGCTGTGGCAGTAATGTTAACAGTGTCACTAGGGGCATGAGGAAAATTACCTTCACCACAGAATATTTTTTCCTCAGTGAGAAGGCTCCAGATGGTTCCCTGTCACAGTAAAGTAAGATGAATGCAAAGATCCAGCCCAGTGGAAGAGGAATCTTAACCCAAGCACACTAGGTGTCAGGAACATTCCAGAACAAGTAGTGGGAAACCACAAACTCTCCTTCAGAGTATTTTCTGCTTCATCCTTCTCCACATAAAAGGAAATGGCATCCACAGCCCACAGCTATGTGGTTTACCTCTCTTTAGGCCCATGCCAACATCTCAGAGGAAGGAGCTCATTGGCTTCTGCTTGAGTCAGGTGCTCGCCCTGAACCAATCACCAATAGGCAGCATACCAACCATTGAGACACAGGGCACGGTAACATGTCCGCCTCCACTGCAACCTTGTGAGTGGGAGAAAGTGACATGGACCAGAAAGGAAAGAGATGGACAGAAATCTCAGCTGTGATGCTTCCTCTACCCTGCCCCCACCCAACCCCTGCATTCTCTTACCACTGCCTCAGTTCCCACCCCCACAGCCACACTTGGCTCTTTCTGTGAGCACTGGGGATCTGAACTCAGGTCTGCAGGCTTTCATGGCAAGCACTTAACCGACAACCCCACTGCTTCCCTTTTCCTGGATCTCTCTGCCCACTCCTGCCTTCTCTCTATCACATTCAGCCAACGGGGCCAGCCCTGATGTCCTGCAGCAGGGCCGCCTGCTGGTTGTGGACTATGCCACCTGCTCCAAATCCACCTGGTGGGGAAGCACCGTGAAGACAAGCATGGTGTGCGCCGGTGGTGATGGTGTGACCTCCAGCTGCAATGTGAGTATCCACACCAGGTGTCCCAGTCTACAGACAACAGTGGTGTGGTGACAGTGAGGTGGGGTGGGAGGGGTGGGGTAGGTGGGGTGTGAGGTGACCAAGGGTTGGGGTGGGTGGGGTGGGGTGGGTGGGGTGGGGGGGTGTCTTAGGATTGTCTGCTCACTCCTTCCTGGCAGGAGCTTTGGAGATGGTTCTGGACCATTTCAGAACCTGACCTTTGCTCTTGAGGTCTTCAGGACCAATGATCTAAGCTCTATCACCCTGCAGCATCCTCTCCACCTACCTGCTAGGAAGTCTTGAGCTTTTCTTTGGATCTCATCCAGGTCTCTCATTACTGTCATGCCATGGCCCAAGGTGGCTCCTCAGATAGATGCTATAGAATCTTCTTAAAGTCTATGTCATGAAGCAAAGGACTTGCTACAGGCAGATTCTTCTGAGGAGGACAGAGAGGGAAGGGGGTCCCCACACAAACACTCAGTTTCTTGACTGCATAGACCCCTCACTCCATGGTCTCCTACCGGCAAGTATGAGCCTGTGAATACTCAGGTGTCTTCTCCAATGGCTGTCTTGAAAAGAGAAGAGACACGGAAAGGGCTTAGATACAACGTGAGCACATACCTATCCCAGCAGCAGGGAGGGTGAGGCAGGGGGATTGTTTCATGTTTTAGCTCAGCCCGGGCTACATGGAAAGACCCTGTTTGGGGGGAAAATGTGATCAAAGCTGAAATGACAGCCCACACCGGTAATGCCAGCATTTATGAGTTTGAGTCAGGAGAGCCACAGTGAGGCCAATCCCAAAATAAAGATATGCCAGTTCCTGTAGGTAAGGAGCCACACCGCGTGACCATAGGCTGACTTCAGAGTGGAGTGACCTCATCGACCATTACCAGTATACTAAGATCCAGGCCCCATTGTGTATGCCCCTCCTCCCCTCACGCCCAACTCTGGCTTCCTCAGGGGGACTCCGGTGGACCACTGAATTGTCAGGCATCTAACGGCCGGTGGCAGGTGCATGGCATCGTGAGCTTTGGCTCCAGTCTGGGCTGCAATTATCCTCGCAAGCCATCTGTCTTCACCAGGGTCTCCAACTTCATTGACTGGATCAACACGGTAAGAACCACCATCCCCAAGCCCAGTCTGCCATGAGGCCAGTAGGGGTGCCTAGGTTCAGCAAAAGTATATCATTTCTTCTTATGGGTGTATAGGCTCAGACACCACCCTCCAGGGCAGTCAGTGATCAAATGTATTTACAAAGCCCACACCCAATGGGTTGAGTGTCCACAGCCTAAGATATTAGCACTTAGTTCCCACAAAGAGTGCTTAGTTCCCACAAAAAGTTCACCAACTGTCTCCATCTGCCCCAGGACAAAGGTCTATTCAGTTCTATGCTGGGTCAATCTCAGGCAAATAAGGACCAAGTTTACCTTCCTGTGGCTGTGTATCCCGAGAGTCTTCTCCTGGAAGCACAATTTCTTTTTTACTATAATAACCACAAATTATTAAAAAAAAAAAAATAGCGGGAATGAAGGAAGTCAAGTGCATCCCATTCAATACAAGGACCCGAGTTCAATCCCCAGAACCCATGTAAAAAGACAGGAATGGTACTCCGTGCTTCTGATCCCAGTGCTGGGAGGAGAGACTGGAGGGACCCTGAGACAAGCTGACCAGCCAGAGCAGCTGAGGATACAGGCAGCATGGGGGGCAGGGGCAGCCAGAACAACAGGAAATTGGCACAATCAAAGGATGGAGGGGACAGGGAGCTGCAGAGGGATGCTGGAAAGGGAAATCTGCCCACGGGGTGTATGTCAATCCACTCCTGTGTAGCTGCCCCCTTGGTTTGTTTATCTGGAAATGGGACTTGAACTAGCCAGGCTCCTCAGCAGGAACAGCAAGGATGGTGGAACTTGTGGCTGAGCCCATAAAGAAGGGAAGCTGTCGTGGTCTCATTGTCTCCAGTTTATTTGCAGGGAACACTAATTTAATTCGAAAGTCAGAAACCCAGACATGAACGAGCAGCAATGAGCATGGGCTGGAGGGAGAGGGTTTCGTCCAAGCCGGCCTGAGGCTGCACCCAAGTTTGCCCATCCCTACCTGTCAGCTTCTCAGCTGTTTGTCTCCGTGCTGGTTCAGGTCTGCCCACACTACACACAGCCCAGGAAAGAGTGTCACAACCGAGAAATGAATGGATCAGTGAGAGGAAGGCGCTTGGTGGGAAGTCTGATTGATTACCTGATGACCTGAGTTCAGTGCCCGGGACCCAAATAGTAGGGAGCAAACTCCAACCAAGTTGTACTCCAACTTCCACACTTGTGCTCTGGTATACACACACAAACACACAGGCACACACATACTCTCTCACACACAAACACACACACACTCACACACACACACACAGGCACACACAAACTCAAACACACACATACACACACACAGGCAAATCACACAAAAATGCACTCACATACACACACACTCTCACACACACACAGATGCACACACACTCACACACACACACAGGCACACACATACACACACACACTCTCACACACACAGGCACATACACAAACACGCACTCACATACACACACACAGATGCACACCCACTCTCATACACACACACACACTCTCTCACACACACACACACAGGCATACACTCACACACACAAAAAAAAATGCTTCCTTTTAGTTAGAGAAAAACAAAGAAAACTCAAGAGGGTTTTTTCCATTTTGTTTTATTGTGAACTGGGGACAGAGCCATGTCTAAAGTTTGGGAATCTAAAGCAGTTAAAGACATTTCCAAGGAGCCTGGATGACTGCAGGGAAAGTTGCTCAAGGGCTTTGTCTCCAGCAAATCCTAGGACCTTCCTTTGTGGTCCCAGCTGCTGCATTAGTCCCTGTGCAGCTGAGCCTGCAGCACCTTTGGGACCCAAAGCATGACTTGTTGTCCCAGCAGCACCTGCTGTTCCCAGGCAAGGGCAGACACCGAGGACAGATGAGTGGGGGGTGGGGGTAGAGGTGGGGGGCGTCAGAAAGACCACAAAGGGAAAGGGAACCTTGCTGGGCACCTGGGCAGAGCCCTTGCATTCTCAAAAGAGCACTCAGTGCAGCATGCTGGGGGGGGGGGTAGTAGGGAGCTGAGCAGCCAGCTGTCCCTGGAGAAGGCTGCCCCTGCAGCTGCAAGCAATGGGAGCTTCACATGGTCCCAGTACAAGGCCACACTGTGTGTGTATACATGTAGCCTAGAGTCTCAAACAGCTGCAACCCTGAGGGGGCCTGGGAGCGTCTGGCTAGACAGGTGGAGGTGATAGCCAAGGCCAGCAAGCTGCTAGCCACAGGCACACATGAGGAGATGAGGAAGCCCAGGGCATTTCCTCATTTCAGTAAATGTCCATTGGAAAATGTCAAATGGATGCTTCAGCAATCACATCTTTACTGTCCTGTTCAGAAGGGAAGCATCTCCTTATTCAAAATTTTGTTTGTAAAAAGAATATAGGAGTGTAGGAAGTAAGATCCCCTGATTAAAACTTTGTTCCCATTCTACTGAGAGAATCACTGGGATTACATGCTGTGTTCTTCTGGGCTTTGTGTGCATACAAGACAAAAATATAAAACAAAGCAAAAATACAACCTATACTGCCAGACGGGGTGCTGCAGGTGTGTTATGACAGTACTTGGAAGACAGAGGCAGGAGGACTGTTTTAACTTCAGCCTGGGCTATATGAGACAAAAGCAGCCTAACATAGCCAAGATAATCAAAACACTTGTCCTACAATGGTGGCAAAAGTCTTTAATGCCGGCACTGGGGAGGCAGAGGCAGCAGCATGTCTGTGAGCTCAAGTCCGACCTGGTCTACAAAGTGAGTATCAGGACAACCAGAGCTGTCACATAAAGAAACCATCTAGAAGAAGAGGCACTCCCCCCTGAAAAACATCTTTCCTGGCCAATAACAGGCTGAGGTGAAGGGATTATGTATTAACACCCCACCGTTAAGTGTGTACATTATCTTCTAAGCAAAGCCACCGTCTCATTGTACTTGTACACACACACCCTGCTGTCACCTGACATAACTGCTGTGGGTATCCACAACACAGACATCAAGAGGGATGTTTCATCTGTGTTCCATTTCTAATGCCGGCGCTGCTGCAGTGAGCAGCCTTGGACAAGGATCATGTACTCTGCTCTGAGGGCCTGTGCTATAGAAACCAGAGGCTCCACTGGGTTACAGAGCCTGTGTTAGAATGCACAGGGAATCTCAGCACAGGTGGACGAGAAGGTCAGGAATCCAAGGTCTTCCTGGCAACATAGCAACTTTCAGGGCATCCTGGGCCTTTGAGAAACCCCCATCTCACAAAAAAAAAAAAAAAAAAATGCCCAAGAGCTATTGTAGTATAGAAAGTATACAGTATGTGGACTCCATCCCAGCACCAAAAACAGACACACCCAAAAAGGTGATCCTGCTGATTGGTCTTGGAAACCAAGAGACAGCCCCTCAGCCCATACACTGTCTTAGTGCCTCAAAGAGTAATCTAAGAAACAAATTAGCCCAGTGTGGTGGTCCACACCTTTGATCTGCCAGGCAGACGCAGGCAGCTCTGAGTTCAAGTCTGGTCTACAGAATGACTTCCATGACAGCCAGTGCTACATAGTGAGAGCCTGTCTCAGAGAAAAACAAAGAAACAAACTACACCCAAAGCCACACCATCTGCCCATTTGTCATGTCCTCACTCGAGACTCAAGGCATCCGGTTTGCAGCCCCAACAGGACCACAGGCTAAGACCCCTCTCACAGGGAGGGGAAGCCGTGACCGCACTTTCTCCCTGAGAGTCACTGAACTCAATGCTCAGTCACCAGGTTAACCTCACCTTGTCCTGTGTGTCCTGCAGGTGATTGAAAAGAACTAACCAAAGATGCCTCTGGGACTGTCACCGAGCAAATGTCACATAAGGAAAGTAGTAATAAAGTGATGATTTCAACCCCACCATGGTATGAATCTGTCTTATTATAAACCAGACATCCTAACCTCTGGACGCTGAAGACGGCCCAAACCCAAGCCTGTGAGGAGGCTGGTGTGCTGGTGCAGTGTAATCTCAGTACTCAGGAGACCCCAGGATGGAGATTTGGAGGCCAGCCTGGGATGCAAAGTCAGACCCAGCTCAAAAATAAACAAGCCAGGCTTGCACCCTACCATCTGAGCAAAAGTGGATGCTCTCACGGCTAAGACCGCTGAAAGCAGAAAGAAAGAAAAGTCAGGAGATCTGTAAAGACCCAGGGACAGCATCTTGTCCAGGGAAGTCCAGCATCTCACCACTGCATGGTCACTGTGTCAGGGGACAGGGTCACCTAACAAGGAGGATATGGGAGACAGAGTGGGGACTCAGGAGCGCCACACTCTGTCCTGCTGTTTCCAGTAGGGTAACCGTGATCCTTCAGACAGGAGACTTGATCCATGGGGACTCCTCGCTCCCTGCCCCCCATAAGTTACCACCCGGGCTCAGGCAGGGATCATAGAAGACTTGGAGAAATGCTGAGAAAAAAAGTCTCCTCTTTAGGAAAGAACAGAGACTGGGAGTGGGGATGACACAGGCAAAAGTCCTTCGGCCGAAGAGTCATTCCTTTAAGAACTAATTCTGTGCTGAAGGAAGAACGAACCCTTCTGGAACCTTGGACCAGACTCACAGACCCAGGCGTCCACACTGGGCCAGCTGGACTGTGGGTCTGGGGAAGGAGATGCTGGTGAGTCTGAGCCACAGACCCCTGTGGACACTGGTGCTCCAGTGGGGGTGTTATGACTCCCTGGGCAAGAGTGACAATGTCTGTAGATGTTTCTGGTTGGTAGAACTCAGGAGGGTGCTCAGGGCAGCTGGCAGGCAGAGACCAGAGATGGCTCAAACACCCTAGGATACACAGGACGGTCCATGGCAGGACTATACAACCCCACATGTCAGCAGTGCAGAGGCAGAGAAGCCCTGCTCTGGAGAGGACCTGGGCATCACAGGCCACAGACCTACCCACAGCTGGAGACAGGTGACAATGACAGCACTCTGTTCCTCTCCCTCCACTGCCCTGCATCTGTCACCAACCTGGCAGCTGTCAGGAGCTTGTCTGCCAGGCAAGTTCCAAAACCCTGGCTTTGCAGGACAGTCCTGGCGTCTGCCACCTCCAGGCCAGGAAGGTTTAGGGGAGAACACTGAGGCATCGAGCAGTCCCAGCCTCATTAGGTTTTAAAAAACAGCTTTTTCCGGAGGAAGTTAAAGCAGCCAGGAATCTGTTTATAAATCCCTTTCTCAGAAACAGCATTGGCGACCTGCAGAACAGAAGCACAGGGGCAGTGTATGAGTTCAGTGTCCTTGTCTGAGTCCATTCAGAGGGGGAAGGCAACTGAGGGAGTCATCTGCAGGTCACCCCACCCACAGCATCCTGAGTGGGTTATGGAACAAACACTTCAACTGGAGCAAAAAAAAAAAAAAAAAAATGGAAAATTCAAGCTTTCTAATACGAAAATTCACAATTCCAATCAGACTGAAAAAGGTAAGAAAGTGGGGGGGAGGGGAGACCCAGAGGCCACACGCGCTACTTAGCTGTCCCCTACCCTGTAGGACCAGAAGTGACTTCCACAGTCCCGGGGTGTGTACCTGGGCTGAGAAGTGGAAGCCCACAGGGTCCTAGTTGTTGTGGACTACCATTTTAACTGGGCAAAGACGTGTTACATTTGTTTATGTTGCGGAATATTACCTGAACTGTACAAAGGTGTGTTACTTTTATTTATGCTGCTGTGTTTAATGATTTGTTAATGATGTTTAAGGATGTGTGTTTAATTATGTAAATGTGTTTCACACTTGCCTCACCTTCCCTACCTAAGGCACCTGATCGGTATAATAAAAAGCTGAAAAGCCAATAGCAAGTCAGGAGAAGGAGAGGCAGGGCTGGTGGGCAGGGAATAAATAGGGGGAAGAGCAAAAACTGGTGGGAAGAGAAAGAGAGAACACTCTGGAAGCAAGAATCCAGGCATCCGCCAGCCACACCCGAGGAGCAGTGAAAGTATACAGAAGGAAAGAAAGGTCAAAACCCCTGAGACAAAAGGTAGATAAAGACAAGCAAGTCAATTTAAGGGAAAAGAGATAGACAAAAGCCAGCCTAAGCTAGGCCAAGTACTCATAACTAATAAAAAGTCTCCATGATTTGGCAGCTGCTTGGTGGTCAAAAGAAAAAGCCTGGTACACCTTGTGGGTACAACCAAGTGCGCTGAGTCTGCTGGCTGCTGTGGAGCAAGGCACTGCCACGCCCCTTCCCTGTTCATCCTCATTGAGGCCTCCAGGAAAGGGATAATCTAGACAAAGTCACAATGCTTGATGATCAAGGGTCATGGCATGGGGCTGGCGATGTAGCTCAGTTGGGAGGTTACTTGCTAGCATGCATGACACCCTGGGCTTCACCCCCAGCACTGAATAAACTGGGTGTGGTGGTTAACACCTGTAAACCCAGCATACCGGAAGTAATGGCAGGAGGGTCAAAAGTTCAAGTCCATTGTTCATTACACGGCAAGTTCTAGGCCAGCTTGGGCTACCTGGAACTATCTAGGAAGAGAGCATGTGGGATATGCCACATGGCCAGGCTTCGGGGTGCCATGCTTTCGCCCCTGAGCCACCCACCTGGCACTTAAGAACACTCTGTCGTCTAGGAACCGGATGTCTGCCTGCTCATCTGTCTCTAAAGAGGTCAGGGAAGATGGCAGTTTGCAAATAGGACAAATGTCATTGCCATGGTCACATTCCTCATTTGAGAGGCAAAGTGCTCCCTGACTCTCCGCCAGAGCGCATCAGCATCTCCAGCTGACTGGAGCCTACTGCCCTGCTCGCCAGGCCTCTGTGCCCCTCAGGAAGAAGTACTCACCCTGAGAAGGAGGGACTGCAGGTCTTCAGAGCGAGCCCACTGCTTCAGGACACCATCCAGGGTCTCAATGTACCAGGAGCCGCTCTTCTTGTCTCTCCAGGAGACAAAGCCTGCAGGAGAACAAGATGAACTCTGCCACACAGCAGAACAAGCAGGCTACAGCCAGATCCAGACTGTGGTTCGTGGACAGGTGGCAAGGGCAGCCCCATCCCTGAGGCTCCCTGCTACTCTTCACCCTCAACATCACTTGACTGCCTGGGGCTCCCATCTTCTCAGTACGGAAATCAAGGTTCTGAGAGGTCAGGGGTCTCGAGAGTGAAGGGTGCACCTTATCCTGCCTTACCACCAGGTGCCCAGCACTGTGCTGAGGGTGTGCCAGCCCCCTCCCTTGTTTACTCTGTGGTTAACCCCAAAGGGATTGTTCTTCTTAATCTACATGCCGATCTGAGGCCCTGCCTGCCTCACCCTGAGAAGGAGCTTAGGAGAGGTGAAGTGACAAAGACCCCCACAGGCTGTGCCCAGGAGAAACAAGACCTCAGTACACAGCTGCCTCCAGGGCTAGGGGTGTGAGCACAGACGAGCTCACCTGGGAAGGTGGAATAGGACACAAGGATGTCACTGGGGGTGGGCAAACTTGACACGGCATCCAGCTGGTCAAAGGTCCTTGGGCCTTCCTGGTATGGGACAGCATCTGGCTCCGAGTCACTGTCTAAGGCCCCGCCTTGAGAGGAAGCACAGGCCACCTCAAAGCCATGGTCTTTCTGCTCTGCAAGAAGCAAAAACAGACCCCAATGTCACTAGGTCATAGAAGCGCTAGGGCACAAAGAGCTTCTCCTGAGAAGGGGAATGCCTGCACCTGAAGGCTTCACCTGTGAGCACGGAAGGACTGAAGCTGGATACGGTGAAGCACACCTGTGTTATTTTCAAACAGGGTCCCACTACGCAGACCTGGCTATCCGGGAACTTACTATGTAGACCAGGCTGGCCTTAGACTGCAGAAATCCGCCTGCCTCCGTGTCCCCAGTGATGGGGTTACAGACATAAACCACCATGCCTGGCAGAGTATTTATTTTTAATTGTGTGTGAATGAAGGTGAGGTATCTTTACAGGAGTGCAGTTGCCCACAGTGGCCAGAAGAGGGTGTCGGATCCCGTGGAGCTGCAGGTATAGGAAGCTGCCCAATGTGGTGCCCTGGGAGCTCATGTGAGTCCTGTGTAACAGTATGCATCCTTAACCACTGATTCATTAAACTGGACTATAGACAGAAATTTTTGTTCCACCTGGTCCTGCAGTCATTTAGTCCCAAATAAACACTCAGAGGCTTATATTAATTATAAACTGATTGGCCAATGGCTCGGGCTTTTTATTGGCTAGCTCTCTCTAAATTATTAACCCATTTCTAATTATCTGTGTATCTCCGTGTGGTCGTGTCTTACTAGTGAGGCCCAGCCATTATAGCTACATGGCATTTCTCTGACTCTGCCTACTATGTTTCTCTATTCCTGTCTGGATTTCCTGCCTGGCTAAATCCTGCCTGTTCATTGGCCGAAACAGCTTTATTCATCAACCAATAAGAGAAACATATAATCACAGCATGCAGAAGGATGTCCCCCATCACCAGCCCATGCTGGGTGCTACATATAGACAGACATTTATGTCTTGCCCAGTCCTGCAGCTGTTCAGTCCCAAATAAATGCAGAGGCTTATATTAATTATAGACTGCTCGGCCTATAGCTCAGGCATATTACTAACAAACTCTTACAGCTTAAGTTAAACTGTAATTCTTATCTATGTTTAGACTCGTGGCTTGGTACCTCTTCTCAATAAGGCATTTTCATCTTGCTTTCCCTGTGTCTGGCTGGTGAGTACTTCTCACCGCCCCCACCCCCATGTCTTCTTCCCCGAATTCTCCTAGTCTGATATCCCTGCCTATACTTCCTGCCTGGCTATTGGCCAATCAGCATTTTATTAAACCAATACGAGTGACAAATCTTTACATCGAACAAGAGCATTATCTCACAATGCTGGGTCCTCTGCAGTACTATGCACTCTTAACCACTGGTTCACTGAACTGGATCCTCTGCAATAGTATATAATCCTAACCATTGATTCATTGACCTGGGTCCTGGGCAACAGTATGCACTCTTAACCACAGATACATCTCTCCAGGCCCTGGCCATGAATTTTCATTACCCTGCTTTGGCCTTCTAAATAGCTGAGATTACAGGTCTGTGCTAATGGGCCCAATCATTAGTATTTTTGAACTACCCTAATCATTGTATGGTATCCCAAAGAGGAAATACAAACTATACCAAATAGGTTACAACAGGACGGCTCAGTAGGTACAGGCACTTGCTGCCAATGAATCCAAGTGGGGGAAGGAAAGAACTGACTCCAAGTTTCCTTCTAACTCCACAAACATGCACAGGTGTAAACATATACACTAAATGTATGTGTATATGCATGTGTGCACCAAACAGAAATACATACATGCATATATATATATATATATATATATCATATTAAAATCTTTAACTACAACTTTGAAGCAAACACACACCTCAACTAAAGAAAACCAAGTCACAGGTAACCAAATCTGTGTCACCTCCTAAACTCACAATTTCCTAAGGAAATAATACAGGTGCAGCCCACGGCCCCCTGTGGAGACGGAAAGGCTGTCATCATCCAAATGACCACTGTTGGAAAGTAAACATGGGAAAGAGGAAAGAACAAGTCAGAGAGGGGACAACAGACGCATCTCTACTCGTGTGTCACCCTTAGTCTGCAGGGTTACAGTGTACACATGGAGGGGCTGACCCCCTTATATCCTACAGCAGGAGGCGGAAAGTCCCCCCAGCACGGGAGCCCTCAGCGGCTGGGGCCAACTGTGGCTACTTTCTGCCTTCTCCTCCTAAGCTCTAAAATCCGAAAGAGGCGTTACCCCAAATTGACAGCTCAGCCTGACTGAGCCACAGCTGGACTCTGGCCAAGAGCATCACACTGTAGGACAACTGTGTCACACTGACAATACCATACAAGTTACTGGCTCTGGGGGAGCTTTTTGCAGCCTGGTTCTATGCTACGTCCTAACAAAGGGTAGGTGACAAGTTGCCTTTTAAATAGAATGGTAAATTTGAAAACAGTAACAGTAGAGTCACCAAAATCCTGGCCTCATTTGCATGTGTGTGAACTAGACACCCAGCCAGGCAGGGGACAAGGGAAGCCACTATGTTTCCTTTCCTAGGTGACACAGCACCACCAAGTGGCAGGAGCATTCAGCAGAAGGTCACACTTCCTGGTCTCTCTATGTATCTCTGGCTGCCCCGGAACTCATTATGTAGACTGGCCTGGCCTGTAACTCACAGAGACCCTCCTGCCTCTGTCTCCCAAGTGCTGGGATTGACCTTGTCAAGGAAGGGGGTATAAGAAAACATCCTAGAGGCAATGACAATAAATTGTAAACAGGGAAAAAGGAAAAGTTAGGGGCTGAAGAGATGGCTCAGCTGATGATAGCACTGGCTGATATTGTAGACGGCCCTAGGCTGGTTCACATGGCAGCTCACACCCATCTCTAACTGCAGTTCCAGAGGATCTCATGCCCTCTTCTGGCCTCCACAGGTCTCTGTACATTTGTGGTGCACATACATTCATACATACATGTAAAATACTCATATAAGATTTACAAAAGAAAAAAGCTGCGGGGCAGTGGTGGCGAACAATCCCAGCCCTCCGGAGGCAGAGACAGGTGGATCGCTAAGTTATAGGCCAGCCTGGTCTACACAGATCCACAAAGAAAGGCTGTCTCGAAAAACCAAAAATTAAAAAAACACAAAAAAGAAATCGGAAGAGTTAGACCATTCATATGGGTGGAACTAAAACCCTCCTGTCACTGTCCCGGAAGCTGGCAAACGCTCTGTTCCTAGTTCCCTCTGTGTGTTTCAGTGGTCAGAGTTGGAGCATGACTGCAGAACACCCTAGATCAGGAAAAGGGTGAACAACACAGCATCGCTGTGGCCCAAGAGCACATCACGGCTTCTCCCTCCATATTGTCAATATTCTGATGAAAGAGCATTGGCAGGAAGAGGGGGCCATGAGGTGAACCTTGCCCCTGGGGTAGAGCGGGAGAGTGTAGGAAGGGATTCCCTGGTGCAGAATGGCCAGAATTCCTTGGTGTCCTTATCTAGATAAACACACTAAAAGACCAGTACTCATTTGTTTTGTCCTTAAGGGTGTGTGTGTGTGTGTGTGTGTGTGTGTGTGTGTGTGTATACACGTATGCAGGCAAAGAGGACAATACTGAGTGTCTCCCTCAATCACTTCCCACCTGGTTTTTAGACACAAGGTCTCTTGCTGGACTGGCTGATCAGCAAGCACAAGAGCCCTCCAGTCCCCACCTATCCCCACTGGGATTACAGGTACACACCACTGTGCCTGGCTTTTCCATGGGTGCTGGGGCTCAGCTCCTCCTTTTCATGGCAGGCATTTTACAGACAGAGCTAACTCCCTAGCCCCACTTTGTTTGATTTTACTGAAACTCCGGGGCTGAAGTCATCAGGGCCAGTGCAACACACACACTTCAGATGATGCTCGGCTGAGGGAGCTAGGTGTCCTCCTGCTGTACCAGTGACTGTGTGTGTGGGGAACTCCTGACACAGTGAGGGGCTGGGTGGGGAAGGGAGCAGGCAATGGTTCCTCATCTGTGCTCATGGGAGGCTGAGTGCCACTTACCCCCACCACAGGCCTGGATAAAGAACAACTTCGGCTTCCCTCCCAGGCTGGGACAGCCAGTCCCATTGAAGATGCTCACTATCTTCTCGATGGACACGGAGCATCCATCTGTGCCATAGACGGCACCAGGGAACTGTAGGTGGCTGGCCTAGAGGACAAGGCACCTTGGTTACAAAGACAAGACTCTGGGTAGAAAAGCAGAGGCCTGGCCCAAGACCTTGTATGGGTATGTCAATATTCAGAAGGGCCTAGACAGGGCCACCGAGTGACAGAGACAGAGCAGGCTGGTTAGCATCAATTCTAAGGGCCCTAGACTCCTCTAACTATGGGAATAAAGGAGCCTGAGGGTGCAGACTGGCAGTGTGTAGACCAACTGTTCCCAGGCCACCAGTGTCAGCATCACCCAAAGACCTGTATCAAATGCTGACTCCCAGGCCTCACCTAATCTCCACAGTCCACCTTCCTGTCCTCCAGCCCCTCTGAAGCAGCCAAACACACAACAGCATTTATGTTGTTGCTGTTGTTGTTGGGTGTATGTGATATTGATGCCCATGCACGTGGGGTCGCAGAACAACTTATGGGAGTCGGCTCTCTCCTTACTCCATGCGGGATCTGGGTTGCCTGGTTTGCCAGCAAGAACTTGTTTCTGCTGGGCCATCTCGATGGCCTCCAGTCCCTCAACTTAAAAGATGAAGGATCTGAGACTGGGAAATGGTAGGAGCTTAGTGCATTAGTGGCCAAGCACCAGATGGAACCCAATGTCCTGTGTCCCACTCAACAGTAAAGGGCCTGGGAATGTACAATACAGAGCACAGCGGAAGCAAAGACCCGAGATTGCTGCATTTGGTTCTGAACAGGGAAGAAAGCTTTGTGACCAGGTCTTACTTGTCCTTCCCATTCTGGACAGGGCTTCCCCATCCACCGCCCACCCACGAAGGCAACCCCTCGGAGGCCCACAGGGCCCTGAAGACAGCAGGGGGGGAGACAGGGCCTCACGTCTTTCTCTCTCTCTCTGTGGACACAGAAGGGACAGGGCTCCTGCAGGGCCTCCCAAGGATCAAGAGAAGCGGCTTCCTACCTGGCAGCCATGAGAGAGGATGACCACCACAAAGCAGTCCAGGGCACGGTGGTCCCGCCCTGCCATCTCCACCAAAGCTCCAACCATTTTCTACGAAGGAAGGTAGCAGGTAAGGCAGCGGCACCAGGAGGTCTGACCCGCAGGGTCCACCCAGAAGCCAACACACAGCACTCTGCTCCCAAGGCGGACGTGTGATGGACACAGTCTACATGCTGACTCCATTTGGAGGAAAAGACACTCTGCTTGGTCAACAGACACTTAATCCCTCCGATAACTCTATGAGAGCAATCACTCTTACTTCTACACAGGGAAACTGAGGCATAAGATGTCAAGGGGTAGGCACTGAGAAAGCCAGGCCTCAGGCTTAGGTCTGATACTAAGTTGTCCTTGTCACTTCCCACAACCTCTGGACAGAGAGCCTCCTCTGGACAGTGTCCCTCATGGGACAGTGCATGTACCTTGGCAGTCAGGTCAGTCTTCACCTCCACCATGAAATGCAGCCAGCGGAAGCGGACCTGAAGCTTCTCGCAGTCCACATTGGAGCCAGTGCGTGTGCTGAGCCCCGAGGAAGGGCAGAAGTTCACATTGTTGATGATGAGGCAGTAGCCACAGGGGTCTGCATCCAGGATGTATGCCTGCCCAATGACAGGTTTCCAATGTCATGGGGGGAGAGCACTCCTCAGGAAAGGTTGTGAACCCTGGATCTCACTTACATCGTCCAGTCTGGAGACCCAGCGCAGTACATGAGATTTGATACCCCAGGGCCAGCTGGACAAGTACCAAGAATATTCCTGAATACCAGAGAGAACTGAATGCCATCTTAGAAATCAGGGATGGAAAACTTTAACCCAGCTTCATGGCTACCACACATACTCACAGCCAGGTTTGGTGGCAAGTACCTTTAAACCTAGCACTTAGGAAGCAGAGGCAACAAAAACAACATACAAAAATATGTAATCCCAGCTGGGTGTTGGTGGCACACGCCTTTAATCCCAGCACTCGGGAGGCAGAAGCAGTTGAATCTCTGTAAGTTTGAGGCTAGCCTGGTCTACAGAACTAATTCCAGGACAGGTTCCAAAGCAATACAGAGAAACCCTGTCTCAAAAAAAAAAAAAAAAAAAAAAATTAAAAATGTAATCCCACCACCAAAAAGTTGAGGAGGAAGATTGCCACAAGTTCAAAGTGAACTTGGATCTTTATATTGAGTTCTAGGACACATTGGTATAAATAATAAACCCTTGTTGCGAAAATCGGGGAGGGGGTAGGACTGAAGTGATGGCTGATCAGTTAAGAGCACTGGCTGCTCTTATAGAGGACAGGGGATCAATTCTCATTGCTACATGACAGCTCAAGCTGTCTGTAACTCCAGGTTACAGGGGATCTGACACACTCCTCTAGCTTCTGTGCATACATGTGCTACAGAAACATACATGTAGGTAGGACACCCATACTCAGAAAATAATAATTCCTTAAAAATAACAACAAACAAAAAGAACCCAACCAACCTAGACACATTCACCCCAAAGGGACTTTAAACTTCATGCAACTTTGTGGCATTGGCCCAAGGCTCAACTGAGGGGTAAATGGTAGGTTCAATCACAGCAGTCTCGGGCGGGGTTCACCCTCTGATCTCCTGGAACATCTTTCTCCCCAGGCTCAGACCCTTGAACTTCCTCTTCCATGGCTTGACCACGGGTCTGATCACTCTATTTGAATATTCCTCTCCCCAGCCCAGGGCTCTGCAGGTTAAGTGGTCTTGTCTCCAACATGGAGAAATACATGGGAGCCATAGAGCATTTAGACTGGAAGGACAGCATGAGTGGCTTGCCTTGCAGTGGACACCCCAGAGGACCTAGCCCTTCCTTATGTTTCAATGCAGATCAGCAGGATGGGTGGGACAAGGTGCTCCAGCTGGGGTCAGGAGCCAACAAGAGTGGTTGGAGCTGAGCTCCTAGCTCAGCCACAGGGAAAGGCAAGGGGAAAAGACAAACTCTAATCACACTAGGACTCACCAATTCCGCATGACCCTTGATCTTCTCTGCCACACCTACAAAGACAGAGAAAGAAGAGAAGTGTAGTGAGATAGTCCTTCTGTAGCACTGACCACGCCCATTGGGGGTGGAGCCATGGGTGGAAGTGACCTGTGGAAGGAGGTCGGAGGGGGCCAGGAAAGGCGCTCTCTTTCTGGCCTGACTCGGACAGGAGAGGATCGGGTTGAATTTCCTGGTGTTCATCTGTCTAGGTTGTGAGTTATTTCTCCCTGAATAAACATCTATTCGGCCTATTTGTTTATCCAGATCCTTATTTACCGCGATAGAGAAGTGGGTGTTGGGGTTCAGTTGACAAAGGCCAAGGAGCTGTTGGACAGTTCCCACAGCAGGACTAGGAGAGTCAAGTGACACGGCCACCATGGAGAAGTGTCTAAAAGTTGCCAACAACATTAAACACACTTCCACCCTTGAAAAGAGCTGTCCAAACCTTTAACTAAAGTCTTTCTCTAAAGCCTTAAACTGTGATTCGGACACTCAAGAGGGACGTCCTAAAGAGAAGCCACACAATGATCCACACAATGCCCTGGGTAACCTGGAAGAGCACACGGCTATGTTAAAAAAAAACAAACAAACCAGCAGTACAGACCACATGATTCCTATGAACTCCACAGCAGAGAGCAGTAAGGGAGGAGAGGGATAGAGAGACGGTTCAGCAGATAAGAGCAATGGCTGCTCTTGCAGAAGATCCAGCTTAAGGTCCCAGTAAACACATAGTTCACATTCATCCTTAACTCCAGTTCCAAGGGATCTGACACTCTGTGGGCACCAGGCATGCATGTAGTGCACATACATGCAGGCAAAGCACACACACACACACACACACACACACACACCTACATAAGCTCCTGCTCCAAGTTCATGCTTCTGGACTCAATGGTACTGCACTCACCTGCACATACCCACACAAACTCATAATTTTAACAATAGAATAAAAATATAATCTTTTTTTTTTCAAGACAGGGTTTCTCTGTAGCTTTGGAACCTGCCCTGAAATTAGCTCTTTACACCAGGCTGGTCTCGAACTCAGAGATCTGCCCACCTCTGTCTCCAGAGTGCTGGAGCACCACCACCACCACCCGGCAAAAATATAATCTTAAAGAAAGAATGATCCATGTATCTGTCAACATAAGTGTGTTAAGTGTTTGTCATAAAAGATGAAGACCTGAGTTCTATCCCCAAAGCCCACATAAAGAACGCATGGTGGCATGTAACTACAGTACAGCAAAGGCAAAGACAGGCAGGTAGATCCCTGGGGCTCGCTGTCCAGCCTAGACTCTTCTATCCATCAGTCCCAGGCCGGTGAGAAACCCTGTCTCCAAAATCAAAGTGATGGGGGAACCAGAGAGAAGGCTCAGTGGTTAAGAGTACTTACTGCAGCTGGGCAGTAGTGGTGCACACCTTTAATCCCAGCACTCGGGAAGCAGAGGCAGGTGGATCTCTGACAGGGAGGGGCTAGCCTGATCTACAGCTAGCACTAGGAAAGCCAGGGCTACAAAGAGAAACCCTGTATCCAAAAAAAAAAAAAGTATGCTCACTAGCTCACTGCTCTTATAGGGGTTCTGGATCAGTTCTCAGTACCCATATAGTGGTTCAAAACCACCTGTAACTCTAGTTCCAGGGGACCTGCCACTGTTATGATGTCTGTGGTTTCTGAATTCATATAGTACACATCACATACACACACACACACACACACTCTCTCTCTCTCTCTCTCTCTCATATAAAACAAATATTTTTAAAATAAAAGTAACGGATGTCTTCTGAAAAATGACACCCAAAGCTGTCCTCTAACCAACTGACACATGCATTCCTGCACAAATGGCACCTATGAACAAGTGTGAGGACACATGTGCACACCAAATAAATGACTTCAGGTAATTCACAATAGGAATACTGCCACCTAGTAGTGAAAAAGGGAACTGTAGGTCAGCACCACACCATGAATGGAATACAGACACGATGGGTGAAGATGAGGACTCAGCAGAGCTTCTAAGATACGAGATGATTTCATTTTCACTGTTGTACCAAGACAAGCAAAAGTGACAGGAGTGAGGGAAACTACGACAGCAATTACCGCAGTTGCAGGAGTGAGTACTGACTGAAGAGACAAGGTCTCCTGGGATACTAAAACGTCCTGTACTGTGATGGGGTGGGGGTGGCAACCTGTGTGCACATGCATGCACCTACCTGGGACACTGCTTCCTTGCTTACAGGGCTGAATCTAAAGGCATCTGCCTTGAATGGTTGCAGGCAGGTAGGAGTTTATACATCACATAAGATGAATGTGTGCAGGGCAGAGTCCTAACAAACGGCTTCCCCACTCTTCCTGTCAGGCCTGGGTACTTTCAGTCATCCAACAGAACCCAAAGGCAAACCCTGAGCAACAGCTCCTTCGGGAAACACTCAGAGAAACAAGGAACATCCAAAACATACTCTTGATTTTCAGATGAGCTGTCAAAATCACATCTCCTACAGACTGACTGGAATATTCCACTCATCTCCTATAGCATTCACCAAGACAAACCCTGGAATTACATTCTGAATCTTGACCCACCAATTTGTACCCTGAGTCACACTCCATGGCACCTGCCCACCAACCATTCTCTCAATACTCACAGACATCATGGGTGCCGCCAGAACTGATGTCCACTGGCCTGGGTGTTTCTGGTCTGAGAACCTCTGGCCTGAGCTGAACAGGCCAGAGCTCTTCTGGTCCCAGCACCACTGGGGTGAGGTTTCCCAGGGCAGGTTGCGATGGGTCCAACTTCACTGCTTTCTGCTCCTTTGGTATGATTCCCATCGGTCCCAGGACCACAGGCACCAGGCGGTCCAGGGGTTTCACAGCCTCTGGATCCTGCTTGCCTGCTTGCAGACTACTTCGCAAGAATGAAGCCAGGGTGTCTTGGCCTGTGTCCTCTAAGCAGCAGATGAAGAGAAGAAGGGCCTGCCTCCCTCGGGTCTCAAGGTCTGTGACCAGCTGCCTGGCCTGATCCCGCCGAGACCCAGAGCCTGCCCGCTGTTTGGATAGAAAAACCAGACACGCATTATCTAGGGACATTCATTGGAGCTCACCCTATCTCCCACTTTTCCTCTAGCACAAGCCTGGGGCAGCTGTGCAGAAACAAATCCAGCAGTGCAATGAATGCCGGTCCCTCTGCAGCCTTTGCTTGTCTGTCTATTGCAGTGCTCAAAGACACCTACTGTGTGTCCAGCACCATGGTAAGTGCTAATTAGCCCTAAGAAAAAGAGCAAAATGGTGGCCAGTGGTTTGCACAGGTACTTAAAGTTTTCTAAACTTTTTTTAATTATTTGTTTTATTTCATGTGCATTGGTGTTTTGCCTGCCTGTATGTCTGTGTGAGGTGTCAGGTTCCCTAAAACTGGAGTAATAGACATTTGTGAGTTGCCATGTGAATGCTAGGTATTGAACTTCGGTCCTCTGGAAGAGCAGCCAGAGCTCTTAAATGCTAAGCCATCTCTCCAATCCCCATATTTTCTAAATTTGTTGCTAGCATTTAAGTAAATGAGGGAACTGAATACAGAAATCAAGATTCCCAGCCTCTCCTTTCTGGAGGAAAGAGGTTGTTCCGTTTTGTATGGGGGTTGGGGAGCTTCCATTTTGGTTTGGGGAGGGAAAATTTCTCAAGTAGTCAAGACTGGCTTTCTACTTCCTATCTAGCCAAGGATGACCTTGCACTTCTGACCCTCCTGAAGCCAGAGGAGAGTGTCAGATCCTCTGGAGCTGCAGTCACAGACAGTTGAGAACTGACTGTGGGTGCTGAAAACTAAACCTACATCCTCTGCAAGTGCTCTTAACCACTGAGGCAGCTCTCCAGTCCTTGCTTTTAGCTTCTGAAGACTGGATCTCATGCAGCCAGGCTGGCCTCAGACTCCATATGTAGCCAAGAATGTACCCTTGAGTACCTGATCCTCCTGTCTCTACCTCCTAAGTATGGGATTAAAGGTGTATACCATCACCCTAGAACCAGTCTTTCCTTTCAACCCACCACTAGGCCAGGATACTGCTCTGACCACACTTAGCTGGAGAAGGGAGTAAGACAAGCTACTGGTACCTCCCTGGGAAGTCCCTCTTAATGTCCCTTGAAGGCTAGGACTTTCTCTTCAAACTACTTCCCTCGATCAGTTGTTTCTAAGACTGATTATATATATATTTTTTTAATTTAGACCAGGCTGGCCTCGAACTCACAGAGATCTGCCTGCCTCTGCCTCCCCTGTATTTGGACTAAAGGGGTGTGTCACCAAGGGCTGATTTCATTATTAACTGGTAGGTAGTCATAGGGTCATAGAGCTCTGGACCACGTTCTATTTCTCCTTCACTGGACCAGACCAGGTTCCTGGATGATAATAGAGATGCTGAAGACAGCCTGCCTCATAACCCTCAGGAAGAAATATTCCCTTTTCAGACCTGTGGTGAGGGCCAACTGGGAAAAAAAAAAAAAAAAAAAAAAAACTAAAGTGATTTTTTTTTTTTTTTTTTTTTTTTGAGACAGGGTTTTCTCTGTGTAGCTGTCTCTGTCCTGGAACTCACTCTGTAGATCAGGCTGTTCTCAAACTCAAAGGTCAAGTGTTTGATTTTTATTCTTTGTGTTACCAATATCAAATCCCCTTTTCCCCCTAAGATTCTTTATAGAGTATGCACTTAATACATAAATGCCCGACTCAAAAAGCCAGGACATGCTGTGTCAGGCACGGAAGTGCTTCACATCTCTTATCTCATTGGCCTAGGACAGGATGACAACTGTTCCATTTCACAGCCCGGGAAACCGAGGCTCAAAGAGGGTAAATGATGTGCACAACGAGCCAGTGCCAGGCTAGTCCCAGTGCCTAGGACTCTTACACTTGAGCAGGAAAAATACACGCCTACTTTCTCGAGATAAACACAAGTACCAGCATGGTGCAGGTTACAGTCGCTTTGGCAAACACTCCGGAAAAGAGATGTTTGGGGTTTTCCTATTTATTCTTCCGGACTCCATAAGACTCTGGAGGATTAAGGGGACTGAATTCTGGAAGGCTCTGAAAACGGAGTTCCCATGCATGGTTTCCCAGGGCGTGGGTTGTGCTCTGTGCAAGACAGGAAGGGCAAAAGCTCAGCCTCCCAGTGCCCACCTGCGCCGCGGGAAAACCGGGGGCCGCCCGGGGGCGGGGCGCACCTGGATGTCCTCGATCATGTCCCTCGTGAAGAGCTCTCGACTCAGCAGAGCGTCCCAGAGCTCGGCGACCTGCAGCTCGCTCACCAGGCGCACCCGACATCGCCGCAGGAGCTGCCGGTCCGCTTCGTCCATGGCAGGCAGATAGCGGGACCCCGGGTTCCGTCCGCTTCCGGCCCTCGGGTCCCGCCCCGGCACCCACGGCCCGCCCCCACATCGCCCTAGCAAGGGATCCCGCCCCGTGGAGGCCCAGCTGGCCAACAGTCACCTCGTCATCAGGTTCCGCCCGGCCCTGGGTCCCCCGCATCCACTCGGCTCCGCCTCCCCAACCACCTCACAGCAACCCGCCACACTCTCACCCCCACTTCCCCACCGTACCCCATTTCCCCTCACACACGCTCGGCCCCGCCCCGACTCTCTGCCCCGCCCCTTAGTCCCCGCCCCGCCAGGCCCGTCCCGGCGTTTTACCCCGCCCCTGAACCCCCTCAGGCCCCGCCCCGGCACTTCTCGCTTCTTAAGACCCGCCCCACATGATGCGGCTCCGCCCCTAAGTCTCGCCCCTATTCCATGCTCCTGTCCGGCCCGAGGATGCTCCTCAGCCCCGCCCCCAGGCCCGCTCTCCAATCCACAGTCTTTCTCCCCTCTCCCCGCCCCCAGGGCTCCCCTATTCCACTGCTCCACTGGTCCAGTCCTCAGGCCCCACCCTCCAACGTTTTTCACTAGGGTGCTATTCGGTCCCTCTCAGGTCCCGATCCTGCCCCCTCACCCAGCCTCCAACTCCCTCCCGCCTAACATTGCCACGCCCCATTGGGCCACCCCACGTGACTTTCCGTCCGGCAGCACCGCGCTCCTGCCAGGGCCCCAGGCCTCCTAGGGTTCTAGGCTCTGAGGTCTTGTCTCCTTGTCCCTATCTTAACACTTGTGGCACCTTTAACCCCCACGGAGCGATTGCGCCACCAGAATTCACAGCCACCCTACTGCTGCAGACTCTCAAAAGGTCACACCACTGGCAAAAGGAAAACAAAGCCATGCCTAGAGGTCCGTCCCACATCACTCAAGCTCCTTGCTGTTTTCTAAAGCCCCAACCTTGTGGCTAATAAAACCTCAAGTCCCCTCCTTGCCCACTACTCCTTTGCTTCGGACTATCGTGACTCACCCAACTGAGTCACACAGACTTCCATCTCCCTCTTCTCTCCTTCCCTCCCTACCAACTACGTCAGAGAAACTGCCAGGAATCTAGCCCTCTGTTCTCAGTTTCGTACCACTCATTTCACGTATGAAAAGTAAATAAGCATTGTGCTAGCCATTTTACACTTCTTATGTTTATCCCTGCCACATTCCTGACAGGAAAATTAACAGCATCAACAACAAATCTAGCATGAATGACTCCATATTGGTCTGTTGAGGCTAGTGCAAGAGCTAAACCCGAAACAATCATCTACTTATTGGTCTCCTGAGCTGCAAAACCTTAGGCATGGAACGCAAGTATAACTCAATGGTAGAGCACTTGCAGGGCACACTCATTTCATTCCCCACACGGGCACAGGGTGTGGGGGTAAAGTAGTCTTTAGCTTCATTTTTTTTCATTATTTTTCAAATATTCACTGGTGTCTTATACTTTCTGTTACAGTGCTGAAGAAGACAGGTTAAAAAACCCTACCTATGGGAGCTTACATTCCTGGAAGAGCAGGAGACAGACGATATTAAATAAATAAATAAATAAATAAATAAATAAATAAATAAATAAAAAGATACAGCCGGGGATGGTGATACACACGTTTAATCCCAACACTCGGGAGGCAAGAGGCAGGCGGATCTCTGTAAATTGGAGGCCTACCTGGTCTCAAAAGGGAACAACAAAAAAAGATTAATAGAGAAAAGCAAATGACTACATAAAATCTCAACACGAGACATGGGATAGAAAATGCATCCCCAGAAATCTCGGTCACGGGCGCAAAAAATATCAACCTTATTCACCACACCCCCTTTCCAGTGTTTAAGTCCCAGTCTAGAACATTCTTTAGTTGATAGAATTTGGAGTCTTGAATCCTGGGCTTTGGGCAAGTCATTGGCCCTCTCTGAGTCTCAGTACATGGAGAGATGGACTAGAAAGAATCCCTAAGGTCCGCTCAAACTCTAGGATTCTATGAATAGGGTTAAAGTGAACTGGGACCAGCGACTGCGTCCCCGTCCTAGCAACTGTTGCTAGACGTAGGCCACCTTCAGGCAACCAATGGAAACCCTTCCCGGGTTCCGGGAGGTCTTCCTGGCATCCCGTGATTCATAGCGACTCCGCCTCGCTAGGAGGCACGTTCTGGCCTCGCTGGTCAAGATCTAGCCTTCGGACCCTGCAGAAAAGCGCGCTCCGTTTCTATAGCAACCACGCCAGATCCACGTGCCTACGGCGAATGGGAGGAACCAAAAAGTTCGCCTAATGCTAAGCCCAGCCTGGTCTGTGCACGAGTTCGCAGCGCGGTGTCTTTAAGCGTCACGTGACTGCCGGAGCCCGAGCCCCGCCTCTTTCTCCTCCCCAGGTGCTCTGGTGTGGACTGGAAGCACCGGCCCCGGCGGATTCACTGGAGCACGGACGCTGCGGCCGGTTGGGCCGGTGCCCTTTCCCGGTAACTCCTTCCCGGCGTGACGCGCGATCGCGGCGGGGCCCGACAGGCTCGGTGATCTCCCGTCAGCTACCCCGCGTCCTCAGCCCTTGCTGGGCCCTGGGGGACCCGGGAGCCGACAGGAACCGGGGCGGCGGGGGAGGGGGCCGCCTCCCGGAAGGTCGCGACTCGGGAAGGCGCCCTAGGCGGAGCTTGATTCTGCAGAGCCTCCGGGGAGCCGCCACCGTCTGCCTTTGGGGACGCCGAGGGCTACCTGTTGGCCGGTGCGTCCCCTGCACTGAGGCCGGCCCCCTGGAGCCGGAGAGTGTCAGCCAAAGAGCTGCCCCACCGCACCCACACGAGGCTGGCACTCTACCCACCTTGCTTGTGGATTCCGCTTACTAAACCCCTCACCCACTTTACTCTTCCCCACCCTCACCCATGAAGATCGGTCTGGGTGGTAGTGTGTTTACTCCCACCCTGTCGGCAAGAGCACAGGTTTTGGGTCCTAGAGTGGTGATGGACAGACCGCCCCCAACCTAATCAATTCCAAAGCCAGGTGAACTCAGAACAGGTCGTCAGTGGGAGAAACTGACTGGCCCGTAGATTTTACTTAGCATGTGTGCAGTTCTAAACAGTGGCCAGCTGTCTGTGAAGACTCCCAGTAATTGTCTTGCACTTGTCAAAATCCACCCTCCTGAGCAAGGTGAAACCACCGAACCTTACACTGTGAGGTCGAAATAAGTGTGATCCATGGGAAATTGTGTGTGGCATAAGAGGGCATAGCCCTGTGTGGGTCTCCAGTACCACACCATCCCCTCTTCGGCCAGCGAAGACTATTCCAAAACCCACACTGAGCTCACCCCTTTAGATGAGTTGGAGTTTAAACGTTTTAAATCCATGCTCATTCAAGTTTTTCCTGTTAGTTCTCTTTAAATGGAAAACTAAATTTCTTAACCACTTTTTCATATCTGAAGTTTCCATGATCAATGACCAAATTAACAGCCGGATTGAAGAATAGCTTTTCATTTTCTTGTTTGAATGAACATGGTAAAAAAAAAAAAAAAAAATAGTAAGCTTACTGAACATTACTGAGCAGTTATTTTTAAAAATGTTTTACTTTCATTTTATTTAGTGCCCAGAAATGCCACAATGATCCCAGACTATAATTCAGTACATGATAAATCGGACGTTGAGTTTATGAGTTTATTTAATACTTACTCAGTGAGCTACTCTGAAGCCAGTAATTTTAAGTTTATTGTCAGGATAGATGAAATTGTGCATTTGAGATGTGGTCTCCTGATTATCCTGAATATATTGTCATAGTTACTACTTATTTCAGCTCATTAATTTTCGGTAAATTTGGGTGTTTGTGTTTTGTTTTTTGTGTGGTTTTTGTTTGTTTGGTTGGTTTGGCTTGGGTTTTTTTGCTTTTTCAGGAGAGAGTTTCTTCTCTGTGTATCCCTAGCTGTCCTGGAACCCTGCTATGTAGACAAGACTAGCCTTCAGCTCCGCTATCCCCCTGCCTCTGCCTCCTGAGTGCTAGGGTTAAAGGCGTGCTTGCACCAATGCTACCCAGCTTGCTTTGTTTTTGTTTATTGACACATTTCCCATTTCTAAAGAAAACTTTTGTTTACTTCTTATGTTTATATCTTTTGTCTCCCCATCTTAAAAAAGCAAGGCCATCCAGGTTTCTGCCTCTGGAACTTAAGCTACCCCTTAATCATTTCAGCTCTTGAAAGGAAGCGATGGAGGTGAAAAGGCTGAGTGTTTCCTGGCAGTTCTGGATAGTTCTCATTCTGACCCTGCAAGGTCTGTCTGCCTTGGATTTTGACCCATATAGAGTCCTGGGGGTCAGCCGCACAGCCAGCCAAGCTGACATTAAAAAGGCATATAAGAAGCTCGCCCGGGAATGGTATGTAAAACCAAGAATGGAAGTTTAACATACACTAAGCAGTCTATCTGTTTATTTGATGATTTGTCTGTCTGTTCCTGGGTTCAGTATATATATTTAGCTGTCTAGAGTATTGGTGTTCAGCTAGCAGCCCCTTCAAGAATACTGTGGCTTAGATACTGTTAGGATATTTAATGTTAGAGTAAGAAGTAACTTTGAAGGCCATTAATCCCAGCACTCTGGAGGCAGAGTCGGGTAGCTCTCTGTGAGTTCAAGGCCAGCCTGGTCTATAAAGAAAGTTCCATGACAGCTAGGGGTACACAACTACACAAAAATACTAATCAAACTGGACTCGATACCCTATACTTAACAATCCCAACACTTAAGAGGCTGAGGCAGGAGGCTCACCTACCTGGGCTGCATGGCAAGCCCCAGGTTCATTAGAGCAAATAAAAAAGTAACCAGCAGTGATAAGCTGCCTTTCTTGTGGCAGCTTATTCTATTTTTTGAACAGTAATTCTGCTTTTTAAAGATTTTGTTTTTAATTGTGTATTTCTCTCAGAAGAGGCTGCTGAGCACTTGGCTGTGGAGTTAGAGGCAGTTGTGGGCTGCCTGATAATGAGGGCTGGGACTGAACCCAGGTCCTCTGCAAGAGCAGCAAGGACTCTTCACCAAGCCATCTTCTCTCCAGCTTTATGAGTATAAATGCTATAGGA